GGTGGAGGCTTCTATGTTGTTATGATGCTGAACAGGTTTCAGTGGAGCTTCTAGACTAAGATAGACCAGGCAGAAAGGCCTGGTGATCAGCTTCCAAAAACCAGCCGATGAAAACTCATATGGATTACAACAGTTCGATCTGCAACTGATCATGGGGAAGGTGCAGGATCAGGCAGCGTTTCTTTCTGTTGTGTATGGGGTTGCCATGAGTCAGACCAACTTGACAACAGCTAACAAGGACATAATACTCACACTACACACCCACACCTGTACCATTTTTATATCAAAATCTTGAGTTTATACTAATACGTTTGTCTTAGTCATCTAGTACTGCTATAACAGAAATACCACAAGTGGACGGCTTTAACAAAGAGAAGTTTATTCTCTCACAGTCCAGTAGGCTACAAGCCCAAATTCAGGGCATCAGCTCCAAGGGAACGCTTTTTCTGTTGACTCTGGAGGAAGGTCCGTGTCATCAATCTTCCCTTGGTCTGGGAGCTTCTCTGAGTGGGAACCTCAGGTCCAAAGGACACACTCCACCCCCGGCACTGCTTTCTTGGTGATATGAGGTTCCTGTGTCTCTCTGCTTGCTTCTGTCTTTTACATCTCAAAAGAGATTGGCTTACGACACTACCTAATCTTGTAGACCTCATCAATATAACTGCCGCTAATCCATTTTATTACATCACAGTGATAGCATTTACAACACATAGGGAAATCACATCAGATGATAAAATGGTAAACAATTACACAATACTGGGAATCATGACCCAACCAAGTTGACAGATATTTTCGGGTGACGCAATTTAATCCATGACAACATTCAATTCCGGTCCAACCCACAGGGTTCATTCTAGTGTTTTCCATTTCCAGATTTGTGCCTTCTTGGACTGTGGAGTCCCTGGGTAGTGCAAAACAGTGAACATGCTTGGCTGCTAACTGAAAGGTTGGAAGTTCAAGTCCACCTAGAGACAGCGGAAGAAAGACCTGGCAATCCACTTCTGAAAAATCAGCCATTGAAAACCCTATGGAGCACAGTTCTCCTCTGACACACATGCGGTTGCCGTGAGTTGGGGTCCATTCGATGGCAACTGGTTCCTCTGGCCCACGTGACACCTGGCTCTTGTGATTCCCACTGGATTGATTTACTTATCTCCTCAATCCTAGAACGAGCAGAAAGGAATTTCAGAATTGCTTACAATCCCTCTGTGAAAAAGGAGGCTACTGATTAGAATTCAATATTTATGTCTCTTTTTTTTGTCTTTAGCCTGTGAGCAAACAGTCAAATACCATGCTCAAAAATTACTTAAGTTATACAAGGAGTAACTTTAAAAGATTTTTAGGGGGAAGAGGGAAGAGCTATAGAATTATTCTTTATTATTTCATACATGAAAAGAATATGTATATAAATTATATACATATTTGCACATACATATATATGTAATTTATATATAGTGTGTACATAGGGCTATCGTTGCTTATTATAAGTAATGTGTGTGCAGGGCTATTGTATGTCAGCTGCCGTCAAGTCGGCCCCGACTCATGGTGACCCCACGCACAATGGAACAAAATAACACTCGGTCCTGCACCAGCCCCATGATCAGTTGTGGATCAAACCGTGTGATCCATAGGGTTTTCACTGATTGATTTTTAGAAGTGGATCGCCAGGCCTTTCTGCCTAGTCTGTCTTAGTCTGGAAAGTCTGCTGAAACCTGTTTAGCATCATAGCAACACACAAGCCTCCACTGACAGACAGGTGTACGTGAAGTGCATTGGTAGGGAATTGAACCCAGGTCTCCCTCATGGAAGGCGAGAATTCTACCACTGAACCACCAATTCCTTGTATGTAGGGCAAACATTGTAAAATTTTGGTAATTATGCATTTAATAATATGGTTTAGAAAAAAGTATGTAGCTAACACTTCAAGCCCTGACTTCATGGATATTGTTAGTTGGGATGAGGCTAAGTTTATTTAAGTGAAAAAAATCAAGTGAGTGAGTTTAAGGAAAATATTAGGTACATGTCAGCGCTGTTGAGGAAACAGGCCTGTATATGGGCTTGTCTAGCTCTGAGTTTAGAGGAGGCCATTCCCTGCCTTCCAGCTTGTGCCTTTCTGTAAAACTCACATTTCTTAAAAGTGAAAGGTTTGTCCACACCCATTTCCCCCACTTGTCCAGGATCCTGAGGAAGGAATAGGATTAATTATTTAAGAAGACAGTGAAAAGCCTTCAAGCATAGGCCACATCTCCTTTCAAGTGTGAAATTCCTGGCTAGGGCAGAAATCGCCCCTGGGGGTGGCAAATTGTAGGTGAGGCATTGAAGTGAATGTTTACTGTGTAGATTTTAGGTTTCCCATCAGGATTTGGCATCAAGGCAGGGAAAGGAATTCCAGAAAGTGGAGGATTTACAATAGGAATCTGGACAGTTGAAGGGGAATTGGCAAGAGTCAAACTCTGAATCTCCAAGGGTCAGAGGCTGGGATATGGGAAACAGCATGGGGTGTGGGGAACAGCATAGGGCACGGGGAACAGCATGGGACACAGGGAACAGGGTGAGGTGTGGGGGACAGTGTGGGGCTCAGGGCCAGTGGGGGAAAATGTGGTCTGTGAGGAACAGCATGGGGCAGGGAACAGGGTGAGGTGTGGGGAACGCAGAGGAGTATGGGGAGTAGCGTGGGGCACAGGGAACAGTGTGGAGCATGGGGAACAGCCTGAGGCACGGGGAACAGCATGGACTGTGGGGAGCAGCGTGCTCAAGCCCCAGGCGCAGGAGGCAGAAGCTTCCATTCATCCTCCTGTTAACAGGCTCTTGAGGCCCCTGTCATTGACGCAAGGGCAGATTTCTTGAGTGTCTATGCTCTGGGAGCCATCCCAAAATAAGCTGATTAGTAGAAACTTTGGAGCCCTGGTGGTGCAGTGGGTAAGCGTTCAGCTGCTAACCAAAAGATCGCAGTTCGAATCCACCAGCGGCTCCTTGGCAAGTCTGTGGGGCAGTTCTACTCTGTGCTATAGGGTCGCTATGAGTTGGAATCAACTCCAGGGCAACAGGTTTGGTTTTTGGTTATTTGGTTTTTTTAGTACCAACTGCAGTTTCTTTCTTTTCTTGATACACACCTCCCTCTGGACTGAAAATGACAGCACCTGTATTCATTTAGGGAAACGACAGAAAAGGGGCAGCTCTGTGCTGCCAGGGGACAATGGTTTGCTTTATCTTATTTTTGTCCAACAGCCTGGTTTTTGACGATGGTGTCCCCGGAGTTGCTCCTTTATGGGTTTATCTGTCCCTAACTTTCCTCTAAACTGGGAGCTGGGTCGGCAAACTTTTCCTGCAAAATATCAGATAGTAAATATTTTCGGCTTTGTGGGCAGTATAGTCTCTGTCCCAATGACTCAACTCCGCTGTTGTAGCACGAAAGCACCATAAACCAGTTGCCATCAAGTCGACCCCGACTCATGGTGACCCTGTGTGTGTCAGAGTAGAACTGTGCTCCATAAGGTTTTCACTGGCCGATTTTTCGGAAGTAGATTGTCAGGCCTTTCTTCCAAGGTGCCTCTGAGTGGACTTGAACCTCAACCTTTCGGTTAGCAGCCAAGTGCGTTAACCATTGCACCACCCAGGGACTCCATGTTGTTGTTATTGGTAACTGTCGAGTCAGTTCCGACTCCTTGTGACCATATGTGTAACAGAGTAGAGCTGCCCCATAGGGTATTATTGGCTGTAATCTTAATGGAAACAGATTGCCAGGCCTCTCTTCTGCAGAGCCACTGGGTGGGTTCGAACTGCCAACCTTTAGGTTAGCAGTCGAGCACAAATTTTTTGTGCCACCCAGACCTCCACAGATGTACATAAATCAATGGTCATGGCTGTGTGCCAATAAAACTTTATTTCTGGATGCTGAAAGTTAAATTTCGTACAATTTTCACCTGTTATGAAATATTCTTCTTTTGATTTTTTTAACCATTTAAACACTGTGGATACAACCCTAGTGTCCATCAACAGATGAATGGGTAAACACAGTGTGGTCCATCCACATGATGGAATATTATTTGGCTATAAAAAGGAATGAAGCACTGATACACGCTACAATGTGGATGAACCTCAAAAACATTCTGCTGAGTGAGAGAAGCTAGATGAAAAGGCCGCATATTGTATTATCCCATCTATATGAAACACCCAATATAGACAAAAGCAGAGACCAAAGTATATTCTTGGTTTCCAGGCAGGAACCCATTGCTATGAGTCAATTCCAACTCATAGCAACCCTATAGGACAGAGTAGAACTGCTCCATAGGGTTTCCAAGGGCGGCTGTTGGATTTGAACTGCCGACCTTTTGGTTAGCAGCCAAGCTCTTAACCACTGTGCGCAGGAGGGAGGGGGAAAATGTGAGTCATTGCTTAGAGAGCTTTTTTCTTTTTATTTAATTGTGGTAAAGATAATGTATGACATACTGACGTATGTCACAACATGAATAAACCTTGAAAACATCATGCTGAGCTGAACAAGTCAGTTGCCAAAGGACAAATACTCTATGATCTCACTTGTGTGAAATAAGCAAATGCGTAGAAACCAAAGATTCTTAGTGGTTACCAGGGGTGGGAGGGAGGGGGAGGGAGGAGTTTTTGCTTAGAGGACAGTGTTATGTTAATGGTTACTGGTTATAATGTGCTAAGCATTGAGGAACCCTCAGTGTGAATTAGCTCCTTTAATTCTTATAACAACCCTATGAGGTATTTTTCTCTCTTCATTGACAAATAAGGAAACTGAGGCTCAGAGAGGTTAAGAAACTTGTCCAAGGTCACACAGCCAGTGAGTTAACATATGTTTAAACCCAGGGAGGCCACAGTCTTGGCTGAGTTAGAGGCAAGTGAGTCCTCCTGGCTCTGCAGAAAGAGTTGGGAGCCCACTGGGGCTCAGAGGAGGGGCTGGTTTGTCCACAGGAAGCATGTTATCCCCACAACCTCACCCAGGGCCATGGCGCTCCCTCTGCTCTCACTTTCAGGAGCTGGAGAAGCTGGGCCTCGGCGACAGTGTGGACCTGCATGTGTACGAGATTCCCGTCGAGTACCAGACAGTGCAGAGGCTCATCCCTGCCCTGTGGGAGAAGCACAGTCCACAGGTGAGTGAGCAAGCTCTTCCTCCTCAGGACTTGCAGGCGGTGCCCACATGTGAATGGTTTATGTGGTTTTGTTCTGCTGTGATCACATGGCCAGTGCCACAGCCTTGTCCCCCAGAGGGCCACACTGTTAGAAGTGAGGAAGACAAGTGGGAAGTCTCTGTGGGACTTGTTGTAAGGGAAAAACATCATAAATTTTAGTAAAGCAAAAAGAAAGTTTTATTCAGCATATATTCAAAAGGGCAGAAGTGGGAAGTGGACAACCATGCTGCCAGAGCCATGTCTGCCCGAGTCCAAAGAACCATTACAGAGTCATCAGTATATATTAACATTACAAATGGGCAAAACCATTGAGAGCTTAGCCTTTTCAGATTGGCTAGAAACTGTGATCCTACATTTTGAATTGTCTTTCTTAACAATCATTGGTACAGGTTTCAGTAAGGAGAGTCAGGAGGGTCTTCATTGGTCCAACAAATTTCTATGCACTAAATGCTAATAGAAAAAGATAAGAGTGGAAAGTATTTTGTGTTCTGTTTGATTGGCTTTATGTGAAAGTTTCCCTAAAAGATATTTTCCAAGATTATCTTAGCTATTGTCTTTATACCTCAGGGCCCAGTTGATGTGTCCTTGTGAGTCCTTGTGAGCCCAACTCCAGCTGGGTCACATTCTGTATGCTCAAGGAGAGGGAATAATAACTCCAATATTATTTCCTAAATCAGACTTCACAGAGCCTGGTCTGTCTCTCTGGAGTTCTGTATCAGTCAGGATGTGTTTAGTTACAAGTGACAGTAAAAACACACCTCAACCCAGTTTGGGCACAATGTCGGCTTCAGGTGCAGCTTGATCCAGGTGTTCACCCAGCATTATCAGTATTTTCTCTCTCTTTACCATGTCAGCTTCAGCTATGGCATGATCCAGGTGTTTGCCCAACATTATCAGTATTTTCTCTATCCTCCTTTCTTCTCTGTCTGTGTTTCCGCAAAAACTCTTTTTCCAATTAAGGTCACACTCACAGGTTCTGGGTGTTAGGACATGGACATGTCATTTTGGGGGCCACTGTTCAGCCACTACACTACAACTGCTACTTTGTTTTAACATTCAGCAGAATTTAATTTACTGAGCACCTGCTATGTGTCAGAAACAGTACCAGATGCTAGGACCCAGCAGTGAATGATACAGACCAGCTCTCTCTCCTGGAGGTGGGTTCTCAAGCAGCACTGTCAAACACATATCCCACGTGAGCCACATACAGCATTTTCATTTCCTAGTAGTAGTCACATGACTTAGTTTCCTCAGGTGGCTGTAATAAAATACCTCAAAGTGGGTGGCTTATTAGAACAGAATTTGTCATCTCACAGTTCTGGAAGCTGGGTGTCCAAGATCTGGGTGTCAGCTGCGTTGATTCTTTCTGAGCCTCTGAGGGAAATTCTGTTCCATGCCTCTTTCCTAGCATCTGGTGGCTCCCAGCAATCTGTGGCTTGTGGCTGCAGCGTCACACAGTGTCCTTCCTCTGCCTCCCTGTCTCTGTGTCTCTTCTCCTCTTGTATAAGGACACCACTCATACAGGATTAGGATCCACCCTACTCCGATATTATTTCCTGCTAACTTAACTGATATTTCCAAACAAGGTCACATTCTCAGGTACCGGGGTTAGGACTTCAACATACATTTTTTTTTTGTGTGTGGGGGGGTACTCAATTCAATTCATAACACCATGTTAAAAACATGTTAAAAGAAATAGGTGAAATTAATTTTAATAATTTATTTCATTTAATCCAATATGTCTAAAATATTATAACAAGAAATCAATGTAAAAAAAATTAACGAGATATTTTACATTCTTTTTTCTTTGAAATCCTGTGTGTTTTACACTGACCACACATCTCCATTCTGACCAGCCACATTTCAAGTAGGACAGCCTGCTCTTTAGCGTATATTTTACATGTTCATATATTTTCTTACCGTGCTTCTCCTCTGTATAAGGATACCCACAAATTGTTGGTAGTTGAATTTAAGCTATATTCAAAGTTATATCCTGCTGTTTATAATTGTTTCATTATGAGCATTTTCCTAGGCCATTAAAAATTATCCCTGTACATTATTTTAATTTCTGGGTAATTTTTAGTATTTAATTTAGCCTTTCCCCCTCTACTGGACATTTTAGTTGTTCCATGTTTTTTCTCACTTTTATAAATAACACAAAAGTGACCATCTTTCTACATCTGATTATTTATAGGCTAGATTCCTGGAAGTTACACCTTGCCTTCTGTATTTGACAATATGACTTGAAGATCATTCCATATAGAACTGCCTTGGGCACTTTAACAACTATGTAGTAGTTAATAATGTACTTAACCAACCCCCAATGGGTGGTTAATTAGATTGTTTCTAGTATTGGATTTTAATAGCAAACAAAGCTGCAGTGAACATCCTTGCATGTTTCACATTCTTGCATATTTTGCTTGGCATACCGTTCTGCAAGAGTGACTGCAGGGTCCATTCCAGCAAGAGGTCAGAAACAGTATAATTCCAAGCAGACCCCAGTGAGGATGCCATCCTCTCCTTGGCCTGAGGGTGTCCTATGCAGGGCAACTGTGTTAAGCTCTGCCCCTCTGTCTGCAGCTGGTGGTACATGTGGGGGTGTCAGGCATGGCAACCACCATCACACTGGAGAAGTGTGGACACAACAAGGGCTACAAGGGGCTGGACAACTGCCACTTCTGCCCTGGCTCTCAGTGCTGCGTGGAGGATGGGCCTGAAAGCATTGACTCCATCATCGACATGGACGCTGTGTGCAAGAGAGTCACTATGCTGGGCCTGGACGTCTCAGTGACCATCTCACAGGATGCTGGAAGGTAGGGCCACGGGGCCCTGTAGGGCAGGCATGAGCTTTTGTTTCCCCTCTCCACCAGCTGAGCCTGGTGTCAAATGAGCCAAGTGTGTTAACTGTGGCCTCTTTGGGCCAAGCACTCACTATATGTAAGGCACAGAGCCAAGTATATATAAATAGCAGATCCCACTGGTTCTGTTTCCAGAACTCACCCTGGATCCACCCATTTTCCCCCATCTTCATGGCTCCCTCTCAGGCTTCTGGCATGGCCCCAGCCTCCTTCCTAGTTCTGTTTCCTACCTCCTTCACCCTGGCCCTTATGGTTCTTCTCCCCACAGCAGCCAGAGTCTTTTATAAATTTAAATCAGATGATATCCCGTTATTGCTTAAGCCCTCCTACAGCTTCCCACTGCACCTAGAATAAAATACCAACGCTTCCCTGAGGTGTAGGAGTCCCTTGGTGGTGCAAATGGTTAAGCGCTCGACTGCCAGCCAAAAGATTTGCAGTTTGAACCCACCCAGAGGTGCCTTGGAAGAAAGGCCTGGCAATTGGCTTCCAAAATGTCACAGCCTTGAAAACCCTATGGAACACATTTCTACTCTTACTCTGAGTACATAGTGTCACCATGAGTCAGAATTGACTTGTTGGCAACTGGTTTTTTTTTTCCCTGAGGGTCACGAAGCTCTGTACATTCCGGCCCCTGCCCACCCCTCCGCCCTCATCAGCCTCCACTGTCCCCTTACACACCTCATTCCAGACACGCAAACCAGCCTCCCTCCTGTTCTCAAACACACCAAGGTCACTCTAGCCTCAGAACCTTTGCACGTGCTATTCCCTCTGCCTAGAACTCACCTTCCTCTGATAACCTCTTTCAGCTCTCAGCTCCAACATCCATCACATCCTTGGGGAAGCTCCCCAACCTCCTGCACCAGACTTTGTCTCTCTGTTCTCCACTCTTCCAGCACCAGGGACCACAACTTCTCAATACTCCATGCACTTGTCTAGCCCAAAGGTTAGTTCATTTGACTGACTAAATAAATGACTGAATTTACCAAGTATCTCTTTTTAAAATTAATTTTTAGTTGCACAGATAATTCTGAAATACACTCTCATACAACTCATTGTGAAGAATTCTCCTTGCCCTCTCTCCTACCCCATAGTGACCACACTAATATATCAGAGACTTTAATCTGCACACCTTCTTGCTCACCTATTTACATGCAGAAACTTGGTGTGCTGGTTTAGAATTTTATCTTCTTTTGCTTTGTTTTCACATGGATGGGGTCAGATAGTATACCCTGTCCTGAGCTCCCTTTTACTCTGTTTTCACTTGTGGAAACTCCACATGGGATTTGGGGAGTTCTCCATATTCCCCTGAATCTATTATATTCGGTATAGATGGCTGAGTATTCTGAGTATTCTGTCATGCGGATAAACCAGAGTATAATCAGCCACTCCCCTGTTCATAAACATTTAGGTTGTCCTGTTTTTCTGCTTTATACATAACACTGTAATGAACATCTTTGTGCGTGCTTCCTTGTGCTCACGTGCAAACACTTGCTGGGGGTAGATTCTAAAAACTGGAAACGTGCTGTTGTTAGTTGCAGTCAACTCGATTCCAACTCATGGTGACCCTGTGTGTTACAGAATAAAACTACTCCATATGGTTTTCTTGGCTGTAAACTTTTATATATATATATGAAAATTTTTTTCTTCTTTGGTGAAAATACACACAGCAAAACATATGCCATCTCAACAGTTTCTACATGTACAGTTCAGTGACATTGATTATATTCTTTACATTCTCACTATCCTTTTCCAAATTATTCTACCACCATCAAGATAAACTCACCACCCCTAAGTTTCTCATCCAACCTTAAGAGTTACTGTTGTCAGTTTGATCCCATATACATAGTTCTTTAAAAGAGCACAATGCTCAAGGCAAACATTCTTTACTAATTAAGCTAAATTATTGTTTGATTTGAAGAAGACTTCAGAAGATTGTTTAGGTTTAAGGTTCAAGGTTTAAAGATTATTTCAAGGCAATAGTTTTGGGGGTCATCCAGCCTCACTGGTTCCAGAAAGTCTGGAAAGTCTTAATAGAAGCAGATCACCAGGTTTTTTTTTTCCTGTGATACCACTGGGTGGGTTCTAACTGCCAACCTTTAGGTTAGCAGTCAATTGCAAACCATTTGCGCCCCGTAGGGACCTTAAAACTGGAAATACCAGGTCACAAAGTCTGCACGTTTGTAATTTTACTAGACTGCCAAATTACATTTCTCAGGAGAGGCAGCCAGTTTTTGTACCAACCAGCAATGTCTCCAACTGCCCATTTCTTCACATATGCACCAGCACTTGGTGTTATGAATTTTTTTTTTTTTTTCCATTTTTGCAATATTCCGTCTGATAGACTTCTGGTGAGGTTAGGGGTCTTCCTGCAGGTTTGGGTGGATTCTGGCCCATTCATGTATTGACTCTGACCCCGTTTTGGTCTCTCTCCTGCCCCTCACGCCCCATGACTCAGGTACCTCTGTGACTTCACCTACTACACTTCTCTATACCAGAGCCATGGCCGATCTGCCTTTGTCCACGTGCCGCCGCTGGGAAAGCCATACAATGCGGACCAGCTGGGCCGAGCGCTGCAGGCCATCATTGAGGAGATGCTCGATGTGCTGGAGCAGTCAGAAGGCAAAATCAACTGTCGCCACAAACACTGAGGGCTACTTGGACCTCCCAAGACCTCGTCCTGCCGGGCGCCTCGGGAAGGGATGCCTGCCCTCCAGGGCCTGGCCAGGAAGAACAAGCTGTCAGCCGGGGATCCAATTTCGATGAAGCATTCTGATTCACACGCCTCCCTCTCCTCTTTTCTCCGAGAAAGTTATGGCTGATTTGAAGAAGGAGGTGGCTGAAGATTTTTTTCTATTTCCTTTTGCTTTTGCTATGGCTGAGGGAGGGGCAGGCAGGCCCTGAATTCCACAGGAAGTCCTAAACAAGTGAATCTACAGTTGGTGGGCTGGAGGTTGAGGCCACCTATTCTGTGCCCGTGGGCAAAGAGGTTCCAGAACTCTCCATCCGCACCTGGTTTTCCTGAAATTTAAAAACCTCATGAGGAACCTTTCTCCTGATCCATGTTCCAACATCCTGGACAGCCCCAGCAAGGGCCACCCTGGGATATGGTGTGATATTTTTCCTCTTTCTTCTTCTCTTTTTTAAAACAATAGTGCTAGTTTGGAGCACTGAGTAATCTATATTCCCTTTGGTTTAAAACTCAGACTTTAGCCAACAACGAAAGTGTCTTTTCTTTGTCTTGGGGTGTAACCCCTTTGCCTCCCACCCCGAAGCCTGGATTTAAGACTTCACGTCTTTGTTTGGGGGCTGGCATTGGGTCTCCTGGCTTTGTGGGTGAGGCAGCTGCCCCAGGTGTGGCCATGGGGCTCTCAGCTGCCCCCATGGGACCTCTGGAGCGGGCCCGCCAGTGAGAAAGTATTAAGATGTGCAAGTGACTTATTGTTTTTTCAATATGTAAAAGATTTGTAGCAGCTACAAAACTGGCCCAAGCTGGCCTGGATTTTTGCAATGTTGGTGCTGAGTAGGAGGTTCTCACTGGCCATAAGGGGGGCTTGGAATGGGGGTGGGGGCCGGAGCTTGCTGAACTCCCTGTGTGCTGCTACCTTTGAGCAGGAGGGAGGCGGGGCAGGGAGCAGGCTTTTGTGTTGTGGCTTTTGGAGACTTGCCCAGGACTCAGGAGTAAATTTTTACATCGCTCCCTGGCGACTTTGAACTTCCCAGCTAGGGCCAAGGGTGATGTCACCCAGCAGGCGGCTCAACCCAGCCAGGCCTTGGCCCCCTTTAGCAAGAGAAGGCAGCAACAGCAACAACATGAATCCTATTTCGTAAAGCACACGTTTGGCAAACATTTTTCTATTTTTTGGGGGAAAATGTGGTTTTTGTTTCCCCTGAGCCTACATCACGCTGGACTCTGACTCCATTTTGGATTATATCTGTTTTTCCCAGCACCCAGTTCTTTTTAAAATAACTTGAGATTTTTGGTTTGTTTTGTTTTCATAAAGATTCACCTTTTTTCCTTCCCCTTCTGATGCCAGAGCTGCCCCAGCCTCAGCTGAAATGCTGAGTCATTTGGGAATCGGAGTTGATGGGTTTTTGTTAGACACATTTTCTTAGTCTTGGACTTTCTTTAGCCGGGGAGGTGGGTGCCGGTGGGTGGTTCAAGGTTAGTGCTTGGCGGTGTTTGTGGATTGCAGGCAGTATGTGAAATGATGAGGCCTCTGCTCTCCCCCTCTGCCAGAAACTCCCCTTCCATGGTCCAATGTGTTTGCTGTCCCCTGAAAAAAATTGGAGTGTGAGATGTCACCACATCTGCTTGGCCACCTTCTGTGAGCAGAAGTTGTGGCTGTTTGAATGTGGAGTACTTGAGGCCTGGGGATCCCCTAGGGGGCCTTGTTTAGAACAGTTTCAGGGTCTATTTTACTCTATTCCCCAAGGGTCTGACCTGTGGAGGCTCTGAGGAGGAAATGAGGCAGGATGGGGCACAAACAGAGAACTGGCGGTGACCCAGATCCAGGTTTAGGTGGGCACCCAATGGAACCCAGACATACAGTCCCTAAGCTCCTCATTTTCATCTTTCTTCTGTCTTCATTTCGCCTCCCAGTCTGTGTTTGAAGCACTCTGTACTTTAGCTCCTTAGAGATATAACTTATTGTCTGATCATTGTTGAGTGTGTGTGTGTGATCTTTGTGTTCTTCTAGTGATTGAATGTTTCCCCATCGAGTCAAGCTGGAACCTTGTCCTTGTCAATTACACAGAGCATTTGGCTCACTTTTATTTAATCTGATGTCCACTAAACATTGCATTCGTTCACTGCCAGCTTTTTTATTTCCCTGTTTTAATTTTTTTTTTAAATCTTTTTCTTTTGGTTGAACTCATCTGTTCACCCCACGGTGTGTCTGTCCGCATTTTTTGGGTCTTGGCCTAGAATATCTCTGTGTGGGAGGGGAAGACCAAGTCACACTCCTTTTCCCCTCTCATTTTCAAAGTCTCATTCTGGGGGGCAAGCCTGGAATGGGAGTAGCAGGGGCAGAAGTGTAGATTTATGAAGTAGGTAGAGCTTGGCAGGTGTGGAGGAGGGGGTTGCCAGAGGAAGTGGGTGGTGAGTATTAATGGTGGAAAGGTAGGATGAATGATGTTGAGGGAAGGCTGGTGGATGAGGTGAGAGATGCTGGGACATCTTGTAGGGAAGCAGGTGGGGGGCTTTGTTCTGGCAAGCCCCATGGGGTGCTGAGGTGCGGGCTCAGGTGTGCAGGGGCAGTGATTGTGGCATGTGTTGCCCTGACCAGCTGGATAATGGTGCCTCCTTTATGATACTACCCTCAGCTCCCTGCCATCCAAAAAGAAGGTCAGTGGCAGGTAGCGAATACGTAGCTTGAAAAAAGAAACAAGACAGAGTGGGAAGAAAGGAAGATGAGAAAAAGCAGGATTTCAAGGTTGGTGGACTGGGCTTGATACCATCTGGCCCATTCAAGGGGTGGAACAGCCAAGGTTCCAGAGGCCATCAGGGCAGTGGCAGGGGAGGGGGAGGAGGACAGAAATCTTGGCTTCCCAATCAGCACCAGATCTTCAGGGAAATATCCAGTTGCAATAGCAAGAAAGGGAATCCCCTGCCCTCCTCTTTGCCCTCCTTCTTTGGAAGCTTCTAGAACAGGAAGGACCCACTCTGGGGTATGGGGGATTGCTGGAAAAGTACATTTGAGATGCCTTTTTCTTAGGAGTTTCTGCCAGGAAGTGAGACCCAGCTGGTGTGTACACATCCACTTGCCCGCACCCCTAGGGGTGATGGGGAGGTGGGGGTTGCTGCTTGCTCGTGCAAATCCATCCCTCACACCCCCGTCTCTTTCTGGCCGCCACTGTCTAGACTGGTGACCTTTGACCTCCCCGCCCCTAGGAGTGTCTGAACTCAGAAGCGCTGCCCTTCGGGGACAGCAGGACAAAGCCCCATTCTTCCCTGTGGCCCCAGCCTCCACCCTGGGCCTGCAGCGCAAGTGGGCGCTGGAGTGCTGATGGTGATCAAGAAGGCAGAGGCAGACGCCCGGCATGGCTGGGAATCCCATGGGAAAAGGGCTTTGTTTTTCTATCCCAGATTCCATTTCCCTTCTCCAGGTGCACAAGTGCCTCTGAAGTCCCTGGGCTACTGGCTGGGATGAACACCTGGATGTGTTTGAATGGAGAGATCCCAGGCAGGGTGGCTGTTTGGGGATGGGGGTTTAGTCTTAGATGGACACTGAGTGCACCTGCCCAGAATCCTGGTCCCTGTGGCTGGGACAGTTGTCACAAACTGAGGGTTAGGGGTCAGGGGGCTCAAGCTGCCCTCCCCCTCCCGTTCTCCCTTCTCTCCTCACCCCCGCTCTCCTCCAGACACTCAGAGACCCACAGAAGTGCCTGCCCTTAGAGACGTGTGGGATGGGGAGGAGGGAGCCAGCTTTTGTGTCCCCCCCACTCTGTCTCAGGACACCCCACAAAGAGCTGGTTCTGAGTTGTATTCTCCACTCCCCAAGGCCTGTGGTGTCCCCAGCCAGGCTGGATACCACAGCGGGCCACATAAGGGCCAAAAGAAGTGGGGTTTGCCTTACACCTGCCCAAGCGGTACCCGGTGTGTTTCTGGGGCTCCCCCAACATCTCAGGTGTTTATCTTGTCCTATATTTCTCTCTAGGAAAAAATCCTTCCTGCTGAAAGTGGCCAGTTCTCTCTCCCCTAAGGAGGGCCTGACCCCTCCTGCTGGGGCGCAGCGTCTCCCTAACCCCACAGAGTGCCTGCAAGTGCCTTGTCCGGAACCTCTTGTCTGGGACCCTGAGGAGGCGGGGGAGGGGCTGCCAGACTTTGCTTGGGGCTCTGGAGGAACCTGAACTTGACACCCCAAAAAGCAAATAAAACAGTGGAAATGTTTGACTTCTTGTGTGTCCTTGGGTGAGGTTGGGGAGTCCCTGGAGGGCAGGGGTGGACCTCCTCAATCTGGGGTGTCGGCTGGTGGAGTAAGTCCCACATCAGCTCGTGTTGTTAGCTGCCGTTGAGTCGGCCCCTGACTTGTGGCTCCCCCATGCATAACAGAACAAAACACTGCCTGGTGCTGCGCCATCCCCATGATCAGGTGTGAATCAGACCATTGTGTCCCATAGGGTTTTCACTGGCTGATTTTCAGAAGTCAGTCATCAGGCCTTTCTTCCTAGTTCATCTTAGTCTGGAAGTTCCACTGAAACCTATTCAGCATCACAGCAACACGCAAACCACCACTGACAAACGAGTGGGGGCTGCCTATGAGGTTCCTTGGCCAGGAATCAGACCTAGGTCTCCCACGTGGAAGGCGAGAATTTACCACTGAACCACCACTGCTGTCTTACACAAGGTTCTGCTGAGATAGAATGAATGAATGAACGAGTAATGATGATAGGAATTCTGTACTGAGTGTTCTCCCTCAGAACAGAGAGGTGTAGTAAGTTGTTCTGGGTCACACAGCAAGGTGGATGGGCACTGGGATTTGAACCGTGATCCCCAGCTCCCCACAGCCCTGAGAGGTGGCACCGTCTTCACCACCTTTTGCAAAAGGGGGAACTGAGGCTCGTCTGGGGGAAGCCACTGGTCCCTGGTGTCGCAGTGAGGGAAAGGAGGGGCCAGGATTTGAAACCAGGACCCGGTTATGCCCCGTGAATATTCTCAGCTGCAGGAGGTGGGGGGGGGGAGTGAATATACTTTAGGGCTGGTGGCTTGATCAGAATAAAGCTTTGAAACAAAAGGGGCTTCATCAATGAGGAGAACGTCTTATATCAGGGAACATGGGGCCCCAGGGGAGGGGTCTCCTCCAAGTCACCCAGAACCTAGGGTCTTTGTACCCTTGGCTGAGCTGTCTACGGCTGGGTAGTTCATTCCATGGTCTTATTCACAGGTAGGGCACAGTCCCAGGGTGGGAGTCTCAGTCCCACGTGGGGTCTCAGTCCCAGGGTGGAGGCCGCAGTCTCAGGGTGGGTGTCTCAGTTTCATGGTGGGGGCTGCAGTTCCCAGGGTGGGAGGTCTCAGTCCCAGGGTGGGGGCCGCAGTCCTGGGGGGTAACATACAGATGTTCCTGCAGCTGTCAGAGGGGCTCTGGCTTCTCATGAGTCCTTTTTAGATGGGAATCCTTCCCTAAAGCCCTCACACACCTCCGTTTAGCCCCTGGGCCCAGTCAGACACCCTGCCTCCCCTTGGCCACCCTGGCCACTGAAAGATGCCCCCCCCCCCATGACTGCTCCTGACAAGTTGCAGGCTGAGACGAGGCTGCTGGCGGGGTGTGGGTGCCGGGTGTGGATGGACAGGGGGAGGGGGCATGGAGTGGTGACGGAGCAGAGGGTGCAGGGTCTAAGCCCTGGGAAGGGGTCTATAAAAGCCATGAAGAGCCGGGAGGGACCTGGGCCTTACTTTACTTCTCTGAGCCTCAGTTTCCCCATCCCTCATGGGGCTGTTGTGAGAATTCAGGAGATGTTACCTTTGCAGCCCTTAATTTGGTGCCTGGTATGTAACAAAAAACAAAACAAAACAAATTGGTT